TATGCAAAATGCCTTAAGTGTCTGCTGTGTTCTGGTAGAGGTCAGCTCAACCAAAGGCAGCACATGCCTCAGTTTATCTTGAAAGATGTTCTTAAAAGTGTCGTTCACATGGGTGGATCCACACCACAACATGACCTCAAATATCTCCTGAGGAACAAATTACTGACGTGACAGTAACTGCGGCCATGAGCTGCTCTCTGGCCTACTGCGTTACACGACCCTCAGCAAGGATTCTTGCCTCCGAGAGTCACGCTCACGCAATGCACATCATCAACAAAACTGCCACGATGATCAAATCGATGTCTCTAACATGGACGTCGGCCTCTTTCGCACACGCGTCTCCACACTAAGTCCGTACGCCGCCATCAATTTTGTGAAACTGTGTCAGATTAGTTTGCAGCATATCGGTGATTTGGGTGATTGGCTTAAGTCTTTTTTTAGTGATATCGCCAGTGTTTTCAGCTCTATCCTCCATTCTCTAAATCCAAACTACCTTACTGCGCACTTGTGATTCAGCTCCCAACAAATGCCCTCTACAGAATCGCCCTGCATTTCGTCAATGTAGCTATTCCCATGAAACCTTTTTACACACTCGACTACAAAATAATCCAATCAATGACCGTGAACCCAATTAATACATTATGGACATAAAACAAAGCAGATCATTAAAACCAATTTTATGCCCTGTGAAAGTTCTTTCCGAATACTAAATAAGTTTTTATGCAGGTGACTGGTTGATCTAAGCTAATATATATAGTTCATGCTCAATATTATGAAATTTTCAAACCCTGTTTTTATTATAAATTTTGATGAATCAATCAACACAATTTAGGCTAAAAACTTTTGCTGCTATGCTTTTTAGTTGTATTTAGAAATTTTTATGTTTAAAAAAGCATTTTCAGTCTCTAAAAACAGTATAATTTATTCGGATACTTTATTTGTTTTAAATCTCTTTACTTGCCGTAAACATTTCAAGCAGTTTTCCTTGTTTTTTGTAACCCAAATGGCTAATTTATACGAGGTATTATTTTCTTAGTTAATGACAAACTTGATCCCCAGGAAGTTCAGTTATACAAAACGTCGAATGAGCGTGAAAGGTACGCCGTCTTGGCTTGTTTCTTACTCCCGTGCCATGTCCTTGCCCCTTTTTATATAAGCATTTTTTGTCAATATGTTTCAAATTTTGGTCTTGATTTCTAGTTTTGTGTTGTTATTTTTCCACTCTTAAAGTATTTGTGATTTTTAGGGTTTTTCTGAGTTTTTAATTTTTAAAATTAGTTTATTCACATTACTGCAATTTATATTTTGAGCAAATATTGTTTTGTATGTAATATCTGTTCTCACGTTTTGTTAGAGCCCTTGTACAATATTGATTTCTTTACATACTTATAATTTTTACGTAGTTTGGCAGGAAAATACTAAACATACCATACATCCATTTTTGAACGATTTAATTTTGACGATATCGTGTTATTGACTTCTTTCGTTAAAACTTTGCTGCGTTGTTAAGTTACTAGTGGTAACCTGAGTTTTACGATAAGTAATTCAGAATATGGTTTTTTATGTGTAAAGCGCTAAGTGAATCACAAGCTTAAACAGGATTTATCTGTATCACATGATGTGATTTGGGATCACAATTACTCGAAGTGGGATGAAAGTAGCCATTGTAAATTGCGAACTATTTTGTCTTTGCGGCTTCAGTGAAAATTCTGTTTATATTCCTCTGTTGGTCAGTGAAAGTATTTGGTAACCCTGGCCAAGTAAATTAGTTTGGTTAGTAAATTAATGTATTGCTTTACATCCTGTTACTAATCTGCATCAACGAACTTCATTCATCATTTGCTTGTAGTGTAGATCCAGTTCTACCACTCTATAGGCCAAGATACGTCTAGTTTGAGACTTTTAGATTTATTATTAGTGCTATATCTGTTTAGTCACTCCTTAAGTCTCCAATATCTCAAAAGTTTTTTTTGAAAAAAAAAACAACTGTTTTTAATAACGCATTTGAGAAGCTGAGTGGATCGCATTCCCCTTAAGATAGACTACATGTCATGGCTGTGGACACTAAGCCGTTTTTAATTATTTCATTTTGAAGTCAATCCTGTCATAAGGCTTACCTTAAAATCAACGCAAGGCAAATAATGCCACCATTTGTGGCAACATTTAAGTAGTTAGGTTGGCATTATCCCCATAGCCAACAGGTTATTAGGTAATTTGTGTGTTTCAGCGGCCTTAAACTTTTCTTTCCCATTGTATTCATGCTTGGCAAGGAAGGGTTACATCGGAGATGATTATCGGTAAATTAACACCATTTGTCAATACCATTGACAGCACGGTCTTTACCTGGCGGATGCTTTAGACTGTGAATTCATGTGGTGATATTCCTCGACTTCCGATGATATCAATGATTCTAATGCCGGTGCTGATTTCCTCTTCCACTTTCATTAGTCTGTCTTCCAGTGTATGATCAATGACACGACTTTACCTATCAAATGTTCTAATGCTTCTAATGCCACTAATTTTAAACATTTACGTCCGGCTAGCTCCTCGAAACAAGCAGGTCATAGATGTATTTTCTGTCAGCGCTATTAGCCATTCTAGCGATCTATGGCCTCCCATATCAAATTCCGCGCCTTCAGTTCCAATCCCATGGATGGCTAAAGCCGGTTTCACAGGCCAACTTTGGTTTTGGTCCATAATGTAGCAATTGGTTTCAGGGTCATTGATAGGATTATTTCGTGGTGCATTTGGAAAGACTTGTAAAAGGAAAACCGACCAACGCTAAATCGACCCATGCCGGATAATTTCTAGTTTCCTACCTGCGTGCGACGAAACCTTTAAAGTTTGTCCCCGACCCAACGCTTTAAGAGGATTCTCTGGAGTGAACCAGCAAGATGAATGTCCATGTTGAGCCCTGCAGATGCTGGTAATCAGGCTCAGTAATACATTTAAGTCGATTCACTTGTGTATGTACAATTCTATTAAGCAATGCTACAGCAATGGAAATAAGTCTTTTGCAACCGCAGATCTGCCTTATCTAAACGTATTTGTAAATACAAAGACAGTGCTTACTTTTGGGTAAGGAAGTTCGGTAGTAAATCAAAAGTAACTATGAATTTAAAAGTTTGTCGGAAATCTTGCCATTCTGCTTAAAACTTAGATATGGAATGCCCCAATACGTATCCACTCGCACTGATGGTTCGCTGATGATGCAATTGTGAATTGAAAGAGTTACAGATTGAGGTTTGGGGTTGGAATTGTGCGAAAAAGACGGATTTTGGTCGTTTGATCTCCGACGTAATGCAAAGTAAAATATATTGCCTAAATCCCACTGGAATTCCCTACAATCGTTTTATCTAAGTTCTTCACTAAATACAGCGGTTACGGTTCCAGAACGTATGTTTTTGTTGAAGGCCCAGTGCGTATCACGTCGGGTGTACCAAGGAAGAGATGAGACGGAGAAGAGAGAGATTCAGTCGTTGATTCGATGTCTCAATCAAGTTTCCTTGTACATCACGTCACGTAATAAAGTGTCATGCGTGCTTAATGGTATTTGACGAATAATACAAGCTGGATGAACTAATACAAGTGCAAGTGACTGACTGGCTAGACGAGTGGAATGAGTAGGGGAGGGTGGTACATGCATAGGAGTGTATGGACAGACGATTCCGCATGATTGATGGGGACGACGAGTGTGAGTATGCAAAGACCGAGTTAACGGACGTGAATCTATACGATTCACAAGTTTGTCCAAGCGCTTAGTTGCATAAAACGGCTCCGAATTAAAGAGACATAGAACCAAACTATGGGACCACTGATTTCGTCCCAATAATCAAAAGTAAATAAGTTTGGCTACCTTGTACTTCCCTAGATAGTCATTTTTCGTCGATCGTTTTCTATGTGCTTACCACACTTAATCCAATTAGTTGTATCTAAGAGCTTTATTCTGAGATCTAAGTAGGTATGTTGCCATTGAATAGTCTTGCGAAGTCTTGGCTTTCTTACCAGAAACTGTAATCAGTCATCTAAAAGTCCCCGTATGTGGCACTTAACACCCCACGGAATTTATTCCACCTTTTATTGCCTAGAGATATGTTTATTGTGTCATCGTTGTGATGTTTATACCATTGCGTGCTGCACACTTTCATTTAAATGGCTCTTTTAGAATACGAAATCTTGCTGAAGTCTACGCTCTCATAAATACACTACAATATCTCCAAAAGGCGTTTATTAAAGATTGTATAAAGGAGGAGAAGTAAGCACTGCCGATTTTCTTTCGGGATGTTTGTCTTTACGTCGACTAACATTTGAGGTGGTTTGTGGTAAGCGGTTGGTGTGACTTGTCGTGTGACTTTCCTACATTGTTGATGGCTTTCAAGGGATTGCAGAGAACTGGTAAGACATTAACCAAGTAGCCACTACGATTAAAGCCTTAGTTGGGAGTCTTAGCTTAAATTTTGTGACAGAGCATATATCCGTTCAATCTAGTTTTCAGTGGCTAATTTTAAGTATTATGGTGGCCGAACTGGCCACTTCTCGGAAGAGTGAAGAGGCAATCCACCCTTTCTTTTGAAAGGGAAAGGCGCTATTTAGGGGGGAAAATGCCATCACCTCCACAATTTGCTGGCGATCCCTTTTGATTTTGACCGGTTCCATATCAGTGGTGCTCTTCACTTGGCTTAAATGTAATCAACCATTAGCCATTCAATTAACCTGCTCACTTGGTTGTACTTTCAGGTATGCTGCATCATGCAGGAGGTTGCTTTCCCAGTTTAGAGAAGCCTTTGTGCTAGTCAGAAACGAATACCCGACTGTGGAATCATTTATGGAGAAGTACAAGGTAGCCAAACTTATTTACTTTTGGTGCTTTACCTCAACGTGGTTGTGCGAGACTGCTTTATAAGGCTCAGGAAATGGGTGATACCAGATTATCTTATTGTTAAAAAAGTGTCATTATTATAACCGGCGACATAGTCATCAACCCTTTGCACTCCCTCTAGATGGATTGTCCCGGCGCTTTGAAAGTTATTAAAGAGGGTCCTACAAACCAGGACGATGGGAACAAGCTTCTTGTTCATTGTACTGAGGTAAAATGCGTGCCTTTTGCTACTTGATGCCAACTCGATCTTACACTTTAAACTGTGTGCATTTTTAATTGTCTCTTTAGTTATTCATAACGGCTCTAGACCGACTCAACATGAACCAGCTGGCAAAAGACGAGGTAATTTATCGGTGTTTGCCCGCCTTTGTGGATCTTATGCTAGAGTTGATCCTGTCGCAATTACTACAAATTCCGTGAGGGCCCTCCCATGAGCAGTCAGTTTGATTACTTCGGAGACTCGATTGCATCGAAAATGTCATCTGACGTTATAAACTAAGCAACTTACAAAGAACACCCGAAGCACGTCATTGGGGTTTGGCGTTGTCGATCATCTCTCTAATTGTGCAGTCGCTCATCAGCGCGGTGTGTGTAAACGGGCGTGGTGGTTCTTTAAATCATGGATTAAACAACTTGACGAGTTAGCGAGGACTCAAGGTGCTTTCAGAAAAGAGTGCATTTTTATGAGAAATGACTTGGTGAACTGTTACACCCCTACTAGACAAATGAAGTACTACATCGGAAGCCTTGTGTTCCCGGGAGTCGTTGTCATTTTAGCAATAAATTATCCGATGCTTTTGCTGATCACATTTCAGATCCAGCCAGATATTCGTCATCTTTGGGAAACCATGAACGGTCTGTCACTTCTGCCAGCTGATTTTGAGGGCAAAGAGAGGATGAAGCATTGGTGAGTTTAGTCGCGAATTTTGTTGCCTTACGTCTTTTTAACCACGTCGAGTCTGCACAGGTAAACTCGGCTTCAGTAAGGGTTTCAGCGTAAACTGCAGTAAGGTTAGTCCTTTTGACAGCGCCTTGGAAGTATGTTTCTCCTAATTTGCTTCATGTAATTAATGTCTTGAAGTTTTTCGTCTCGGATAAATACATCACTACTTTGCTTTAAGAGAGTACGATTTGTTATCACGCCTCGTTTGCAGAATAACTGCATCAAATAAATGGCTAAAGCAATGCGTAGGAGGTGTCTCATTTCGTTTTAAACACATTTACGACTATCGACATGATGTCTGAGTTGTGTGCAACACTTAAACAATAGCCATAAATAGAACAATCTCACGCCCCATCGTTTAATAAAAGGGTCACACATATACAGTTGTTTTCGCGTGTAACTCGTGCGGATTGTTGTGTAAGCAGAAATGATTGGATAACCTGGTTCGAATCAACCCTTGCAAAATCGCATGTGAGTTTGTTTGTTTTATCTAAGTGGACCCAAACAGTATTGGGGAAACAGGAGTAGCTATTGTCTCTTGCTAAAGCCACTTTCGAGTTTCGTTTGGAGCTGCCCCAACTACTAGTTCAGAAATATCCGATTGTTGCCCATGCACGTAGTTGTTGCAGGCGATGAAACAGAAGTTTGTCATTGATGGCAAATATTTAGCGGAAGAGAGCTAATCTCAACCCTCTTAGGTAGTGGATATCCATGCACGGCATCCATCATGGAGCATGTGATTTGACGTGCAATTGCCAAAAGTAAGTGCCACTCAAGAACATACATCCGACTTGGAAGTGTTTGGGACGGACGACACCACCACCTTGTAGTTCGTAGGAGGCAGTTCATTCTTGGTGAAGTGGTTCAGAGTTTGGGAAACGTGTGTGAGCGTTGATGATGCAGTGTGAATGTGGACTTCAATACGTGCTGCTTGACATCTACTCAAAGCATCTATTTTACGAGTAGTGAGTTGGGATTTGACAAGAAAAACTTGGTGAATGTTGTGAGAGTAGTGGGCTAATGCGGTAATGCAGAAGACGGATAAAGTAAGTCATGATTTAATTGTTCAGTTGTCAGGCTCTGTCTACGTGAAGTCATTCTGCGAATTGCCATGACTTTGTCGAGATGCACTCCCGACACGAGTTTTCATCATTCGTATTAGATTCATCTAGGTCACGTGCACAGGTTTTTGTGGGGAGGTTGAGGAGTTTGCGCTCTTTTTGGTGGCCGCAAAGACCTGTTCAGGGTTTCACTTAAAGTGGCCCTAAACTTGGGGTCAGGTAAAGAAGCTATTGAATAATCTTGCATATTTCTAACAGCTAATTTTGCTATTATTTCCGTTCACATGAATGCCGACTCATTAAGCCAAAGCGACTTTTATAAAACTTAAAATCATTTCCACGTTAGCTTGTTTGACTCGTGTGGTGTCCCAAGTGACTTTGCTAAAAATGAAATGTTTTTTTCGCAGGCTTGACATTATGGAACCCATGGGCGCATCTGAGGAATTATCACCATCTCAGGGACGACAACTCCAGTTCGATGTGGAGACGAGTTATAACAAATTCAAGAGCATTATCCAAGGAAAGTAGTGGTTCTTTCCTTTCATGCATTCCCATTGCTAGTTTGCTCGACTTTGACTAATACAGGAAATGTACTGTCCCAGGTTATTGGTTTAAAACACGCGTCGAGTTTGTATGCGTTGTGTGGCACATTAGCTATTATGATAACAGAATAATAGTTTTTTGCTTTCAGAGTGATCAATTTTGTCTAATAAATTTGCTGAAACCTAAGCGTACCAAGTCATGTGTATTAGTTTTCTTGCTGGTGAAGATTGGTGTCACAGGTTTCACTTTCGCACCAATGTCGTTGCATTAGGTGGACGAAACAATGGCGACTCCTATCGAGAAGGAACACTCCAACACACTGCCAGAAGTGTGCGATGGACTGGCGGCACTGTAGCATCAAGCATAGTCGATGAAATGCTCAGGCTGTTAGATACCACGTCTCACCATCGTGCATTTGACTCCTTCCATCCCTCAAGTTGATCGCTTACCATTCCAGATTCACAGCTGTCCTGTTTGAAGCGAGGATGCAAAATGTAGTCACATTGGGTTCCCAGTTTGATGTTAAGTGGTAGGATGAATCACGAATCCTGATGCAATCAACACAGCAAGTCGAATCTTCGGTTAGTCCTACTGTGTTGCAGGATACTGCTGTTACAGGGCAATGCTAAGGGATGGCAAATGTAGTTCGGAGGTGAAGTCATTTCATAGGGGTTAGAACTGATGTCCCATTTGAAAAGTTGTCATAACTTTGTACAAATAAGTGCTCAATTTGCGTATGCGTTTTCCTTCACAGTGGCGAAAGCGATCCAGGCTGTATTAAGGTTGGAGCATTGTAAGATTCTAAAGCATAGTTTAGGCTCAGTACATACAATGGAAGTGAATGCTATGTAGGCTTTTGTGGTGGATGTGCTCTGGGTGTGGGTTGGTATTCGTGGGTTAGAAAGCAATCCAGATGAATGGGGAGGGTGCGTGTGAGAGCCGTGGCATGCAGAATGTGGTTGCACGTATTGAGGGGTCAGAGTGGGTTGAGAAGTTGGGGACGCGGGGACGCGCGATAATTTGTTGCAGACTAAGTGGGAAAGGTAAGAATTGGGATGTGTGAATGAAGTCACACTAGAGTTGGTTTGTGGCAGTGTGGAAAAGGTTTCATGGGAATAGCTGCATCGACGAAATGCAGGGCGATTCTGTAGAGGGCATTTTTTGAGAGCTGAGTCACCAGGGCTCGGCAAGAGAGTTTGGATGCATAGAATGGAGGATGGAGCTGAGAACACTGGCGAAGTCACTAGAAAAGGACTAGAGCCAATCACCGATATGCTACAAACTAATCTGTCACAGTTACACAAAATTGATGGCGGCGTACGGACTTAGTGTGGAGACGCGTGTGCGGAAGAGGCCAACGTCCATGTTAGAGACGTCGATTTGATCATCGTGGCAGTTTTGTTGATGATGTGCATTGCGTGAGCGTGACTCTCGGAGGCAAGAATCCTTGCTGAGAGTCGTGTAACGCAGTTTGCCAGAGAGCAGCTCATGGCCGCAGTTACTGTCACGTCAGTAATTTGTACCTCAGGAGATATTTGAGGTCATGTTGTGGTGTGGATCCACTCATGTGAACGAAACTTTTGGGAACATCTTTCAAGATAAACTGAGGCATGTGCTGCCTTTGGTTGAGCTGACCTCTACCAGAACTCATAGCAGACACAGAAGGCATTTGGTGTTAATTTGAAGGGTGCCATTTGGGATTGTAGACGCATGTTCCGAATGTGTCAAGGAACTCTGCTGTCACATCATGCAGTATCGTCCGTGGTTAAAGCAGGTCACCTGAGTTAGTAAGCCTGTGTTATTCCCCATGTCGTTTGTTGTCTAACGGAGAGTGGGTCTGGTTTGAAAACGACAAAATAACGTTTGTTTTGAAATGAGTTGTCTCCCAAGCGGCGAGTTAGCATGTTAATTTCACGGTAGCAATAGTTGCTTAATCAGTTCTTTGGTGCAATGAGTGTCCAATGCTGCCAGAAGCATGTTGCAGTAGACCATTCTGCTCAACTATAAATTAGCCAAACACACGAATAATATGTGCGCATAAATGACTTGTTGTACATATACCGTGGTTTTACTGCAAACAGGCCTATGTGCACGTGAATGCTCACGTGTGCTGGACTGGGAGTAATGTTTGTTTCGAAGCCATGTCTATTTAATTGGATTGTCAAGCAAAAGCCGGTCGTTTTTAATTCTTAACAAACCCGCACATCTTCGGGGAGGGGCAAAACCAAATCCCTAAGCCCATAGTCATCGTCAGTTTGTTACGATTGCAGATGAATTGTGCTCCAATCCCGGTGCACGCATTTCTGATCGTCGTTTACATAATGCATCGTGTGAATTCTTACTAACACTCAATGCTTCGTGGTTATTTGCATCAAGTCGAAAATGCGACAGTGGGAGGTCTGGGTGGTTACCGGGCTCATGTGTATTTTATTCTGAAATGAATGTTTTGCCGTTTCAAGACAGCTCTATTGAGTAAACTGTAACCGCACACACCAATTTGTCAAATCTGCTTAGGTTATTACGTACCTTAGGATTTGTTGGCAGTGAAATGTAATCCCTTTCTTGGCTTGCAATTGTTTTCGGAGCTGTGCTTATTTCCAGGCAATTTTCTCTGGATGTAGTGACAAGGTCTAAAAGTGAATTCCTGGTGTTTCTTGTAAATAATTTTTTGTTTCTTAAAAAATAACTGTAAAAAAAATTTCCATTTTAATTCAATGGATGTAATGTTTGCACGTTATTACACGTTATAAATGGGTGAGTGCTCACTTCTGATTTCTGGCTGCACTTTTTTTTGGTGTAAATGGATTTGTGCAACGACTCACGGTAGAATTCGGCCCACGGTACGAGACAGTTCAGGCGTTGTGAACTGTTAGTTTGATTTTACCTTCTATTTGTTGTCCACACTCTTTAACGAATTTGCTTGGGGTTAAAAATCAAAAACATTGTTTGCAGTGAGTTATCTAATCAAGCGAAACACCGTTTGTTTTTTATAAATACTGCAGAGACCAATTCGCAAAGTGTGCGTTTTTGTGAAAATACATAAAGTTCTCAATTTGGTGTATGTATTTTTTTCGTTAATGAATGCCATTGCAATCCAAGTCAATGCGCCAAAATAGGCAGGTCGTCTCTTTTCCTGCTTCGCAAAGTGATAAAATATAGAAAAAAGGGGACAAAAATAAGGAAAGCAACTTGAGTTTCAGTATCTTGTCACGGAGGTATAACCACACAGACGGATGCTCATGACCAATGCGAGGCGTTCATGACCGTTGAACAGGCGGCATCACTGCCTCGACTCCAGGAGTTCAGGATGATTTATCACGACCTTTTCAAGGAGGCTGTTAAGGTAGGTTCGAAGTACATTGTTAGTGTGCTTCTCCTGAGTTAGCAAGTCGACAACCTCAAATAAAAAAAAATTAATGTAAGCGAAATAGATGCAAAGGCATCCTACTTTTGGTTTTTGTGCGTCAAGCAGCCTAAGGCATCCTTGTGTTAAGGAATTAAATTGTGGTGTGCTTCAAACTATTGTTGCAAGAGACCGTGTAATTGCACAGACACAACTGTTGAGCAGGCTTTCTTCAACAAAGTTACAAAATCACATCATTTGCGTTTTATCGTGGGTCATTTCCGATAAATAATGTCATCTTTGGTTTCAGCACTTGCGTACTTCGTGATAATACCATTGAATCTGAGTCTATCCAACCAAGACCAAACGTTGAAATTGTTTTCAAACAAGGCACGACTTTAACTGAGACAACGCTTAGATGCGTGAAGTCCAGAGTGGGAAAAGTGCCTCGTAATCAGCTTAAAAAGCTTTAAAATAACGGACACGCAGTCCAAGTGACATTAGGGTGTGATGGGAATTCAGAAAATACGAACACAAATTCATGGTGATAGCAAGTGTAACGTGCTGTTCTTATGAAGCCAAACAAAGTGCACTTGATTACCTTCTGCCACTCGTAATAGGCCTACATGCAGAAGGAAAATATTGGATGCAAGTACAGTAGTTTGGAGTGTTAACCAAAATTCAAACACTTGGCTTAATAGTTTTTTACTCCCTTCTTAGAAAGTTATAGTAAGAAATAGCGCAGAATAGGTGCTGAAGTCAGTAGCAAATGGTAGGTGTTTCGTCTGGCTGGTTATACAGAAACTTAAAATTCGTGTAATATGCCTTCAATAGTTGAAAAATGAAACAACCTCGTTTACTCCATTTTTTGAAGGGCAATTCGATGAGATATGTTTGTCACTGTCACCCAAAACAACAAAAACAGGGCTGGCAATCAAAACGGTGCGTTCGGATTCTTTTTGATCCATTTTGAAAGGTATAATTCAATTAAGGAGATTGTTTATGTCATATTTTATCCAAACACTAAACTAAGCCTTATTTAGAGGAAAAATGAAAACCTAAAAGGGTTCATCTGATCCATAGTGTCATGTACAGAAAATGTGCTTTTATCCATTTTGTGAGAGTTTGGGTTCATTTTAGGAGAAATAAGTTAGTTTATATTCAATTACAGAACGTTTACAACCACATAGGATTGCCCACGCATTTATACCCAACCTGTAGTTCGGCTACACTGAGATATTTTGGTTTCTAACCTGTAGAAATTATTCGACATAGTTTTGACTTCATCGAATTAAATATACAAATCGCTATAAACAATCTTAGGACATCCCAACATAAAACAAATTAAATAATGTAAGGTTTGTACCCCAAAAGAACATGACATTATCCCACCCGAAGTCATCCACTGATAGGGGATTTCTTTGTCCGGTGTGCAATTCAGCCATTATCAGGACATTACTCCAGCTGCTTATTGTTAAACGTTTCTTTTGCGCCTCAATGTTCAGATTTTCAAGCGTCGACACCTACTGTTTTGGTGACCTCGTGTTGAAAGAAAGCTTTTTGAATCCAGCATAAATTTTTCATTGGATTTATCAAGTGAATATTTCTACCTGACTCATCTGACAAATTGGGGTATTATAAAATCTAAGAAAGCTAACGCGGACTACATGATCTACCTTTCATCTTATTAACATAATGAGGCAAGATTTTGTCAACTCTTCCGCAGAATACTTTAATGATGACATTCAAAGCATACCTGAAGCGTTTTATATGCTCCAAAGCAGGTGTCCGGCGACCTTAAGCTAGCACTCAATTAATCAGTGTGGTGAAAGTGGTTTAGCATTGCCGATTCGTGAAGAATATCATAAAGTACCATACAGAAGAGATTTCGCAAACTAATTATGGCACATGCTTTACCTTACAGTATACCTTCTATGGTGAATTTACACTCACGCTTACACGTCATTTTCAAACGTCATATTGTGCCAAGGGTCACAAATTTGTCATTTCTGGCCACGTTTGACATTCTTAAGTATTTAAAATATACAGCCATTCAAAAAATATCAGTTCGTGGATATTTTGATGCATTGTCGAAGGTAAAATGTTATTTGTGGGTTAGACCAGCTGTAGGCTAGGATTTTTGCGCGAAGCAGCTTTTTTGCTAGAAAAGGACGCCTCTTTAACCACATTGGAATGACACCAACATCCGTAGCTATGATGTGGTTACTTTATCAGTCCAATGAGCTCTCACCATGGGGGTGATTTTGAAAGTTGCGACGAGTAGGGAGCAATGCAAGGATAATGTGTTCGCTTTCTTCGAACAGAACTCAGCCCACTCATCTCGTTTCCAGGGTCAAAAGGCGGTTGACTATCACAGCCGACACCACCGTCATCGGATCTGTTGACTTTTTAATGCAGGTTCCCAGCTTTGATTTAATTTCTGGTTAGCTGTGAGCTTCCAATAGTCCGCAATGCATTGGGGGGGAGGGCGCGTAAATGGTGGATCAAATGTGGTGTGCAAACTGCCACGGCTCCATGAATTGTCGTATATGGGCTGTCATGTTAGCTTATGCATTACGGAGGCAAGTAATAAAATATAGAAGATGGACTAGACGATGACTAAGCCAAAGGCATTATGACAAGGCCACTACCTCTTGAGTTAATTGAATTAATGCATGCAACATCAAGAGGTACCAACGTAGAGGACGATACCCATTAAATGGCTTACAGATATGCCTTTTTATTTGAGACTTTCCAAAAGTACTTTAGGCTTAAGTAAATAATTACCTCTTCTTTTGTCAGTTTGTCCAATTCACCGCTGACACTACTTTCCGTAGCATAAAGTAGTTTCTGCCCATCGCGCAGATTGTTGAACCAAGACTCCTCTTGAGCATCTTGCACCTGTTTAGTTAGCCTCTTGTTGTCCTGCTTCAGCCGCAGGATTAACTGCTGCATTTCTTCCAGACGAGCTACCGTGTCCAAACTCGTAGAGGACCTATGCCCACCCCCGACGGCCGTATTAACTTCTCTCAGAGCCTAAAATTTGGGTGAGATTAAAAAAATCGTCATTACAGTTGTACTAAGTTTTGGTGTCAATTTTACAATAAAAAGCGTTGTTGCAGGAGTAACCTTAGTTAGGATGTCCAAATAATAACCGTGTATTGGAGAACACCCAAGAACGCTGCACACACAAAGTGGGCGACAACAAACCCACCAACTTGTTCCAAGAGATCTCCAACAAATCGCTAATTACTGTCCCTTTGGCATTTGTTCGCACCTCTGTATACTGCATTACGTGTCGTTAGATTTGTTGACAGTGAAGAGCATTTCATTTATTTGCTAGCGAAACCCTGGAGCCATGCTTACACTTGAACAACTTTCCACCAGATGCAGTGACGAATTCCTAAAGTGAGCCGGTGTTGTTTCCAGCAGGCATATTGATTTTATTGTCAGCGGACCCAGTGGCTAGTAGTCAGAGTAAACGAGTTGAAACTTCCCTTTTTCTGAGCTTAGCCTGGTTTAGTGGTTAATTTATCTTCATTTCGATATCAGACATGAACATGAGTTGCCGGTTTGCAGAATGACTTTGACTGAAATTCAACATGACCTGGCCAAGTGGTTAGTAATAGTGAAAAGGGTGGATCTTCTCAAATTTAATTTGATTTTAACAATTTCTGCATCTTAAAAGCGTGGGTGACTATTACATTCCCATTTGTTTTCCTTTTAAAACGAACACGGGTACTAAAAAACCACACGAAAATGTAATCTGAGAAGTTATTATAAATTACCTTTAGAAGTTCGGATAGAAATGAAGTGTCATGCTTACATTTATTGCCTGATCGCGGTCAGCAATCGCCTTCTGCAACTCCCAGTTCTCTGCGCTCGATCGATTATTGAGTTGTTCTGTTAAGGCATTGACCTTGTCTTGGGCGTCTATCAGGGCTTCTGTTGTTCGTTTGCATTCCTGTCAAGGAGAATTATCTTCAAATCAGCAGAATTCAAATTGATTAGACATTGTGAAAAATTTGAAGACAGGAAGTGTATTCTACAAGTTCCTTTAAATAATGAAGATAGGCCAAATTATAATTTTCCAGAAATTTGTAGAAGTTTCTCTTCCATACCAGTAATGAGTAGCTTTTAGGACAGAGCAGGTATTTACCTTGCATGTAGAATAAAAATAAAACTGAAATATTTTATGCATTTCCCGGTGAGTTCTGAAAAGGATACGCAATGTGAACTTGGTGCTGTTTTGGGTGGGATGGTACGTGGCCCATGTTCGACGTTTTGAGCTTGCTAATTTAATTACCAGACCTAGATTCGCAGTCCCATAGGTGTTTTTTCCTGAATAAGAAAGTAGACACTGTAACCTATGGGATTATTTATTTTTTCGATAGAAAGGATTAACCAAATGCGAAAATATGACTTGAATATCACCGCTTCTTCAATGCACGTGTGCTCTGACAATAAAGTCAGGTGGTGAATCGTGTTGACTCACATCCATCAACCCGGTTGTCACAACCTCTAACACACCGCCCCCATTTTCACAGCGTGCCCGTCAGTCATGCGGGGCCGTATACCTCCCCCTTGCAACCACTTGAACCCATCAGCTATTTGCACTTTTAAAGTTTACCCAGACTGCTCGGGTCAACAACTCTCACCCGTCAGGCACGATTTCCAATGCACAGTGGCGCGACACACTAATAAACGGTTGTCTTCGCCATCTCCGGGCTTCTTAATCCGCCCAGGTATCAGTATAGCATAACCGGACCAATAAAACGCGGCGACCCCGGTGTGGTTCGAGACCACATGCCGGGGCTTCCAACAGTAACAAGTGGATTAAACATCAGCTAGTTTTCTGAGTTGACACAAACATTAGCAGAGATAGTATTTGGAGAGGGCAACAACCTAGGGTGGACGTCAAGTGAATGTTTGTCGATAGATTTGCTTGAAGATTATTGGAAGCTGCAATTTTCCCTGTTTTCATTGGCCCCCAAACACAGCTCAACCTCTTTGTTCCTAAGTCATCTATAAGTACGCCCACACACACAAGTACATTTCATCACGAGGTGGTGAATTAACGTCATGCCGTCTTTCTACAGTCACCTATGTTCTCTGATTCTATAGGCTGCAAGATACCCGGTAATAATTGCTGCAAACTTGTGCATACTAAGCCATTGAAATGCTGGAGTTGTATTTGGGTTTTTCGGAGTTTTTGAAATACTTTATGGATTTACCGATCGGTTGTGCCCGTTAGTATTTCAGCCAGTGTCTCAATGATTTAATCTGCCACATTTGTTGGAAAATTTAACTTCGGCCTTAAGTATTTCACGCCATAACCAGAAACTAAATAAGTCGACTATCTGCTTTTAGGCATTCATTTGGGTGGAAAGTATGTGTTAAACGTGAAGGCGAATTAAGAAACTGAGGACCTAACAATTTGAAATGCCATGTGACAGACAAATAACCAAACAATTTCTCAAAAGTGCCTTACACAAGATTGTGCTTGCTCCATAAATGGATCCTAAACACTAGCTCGTGGTACGCTAATGTAACCATTATAACGAATGTAACAAAACACTTTGCCAGGAATCAATAAAATGGTATTTTGCTGAGCCACAGTAACGGATTATTATATTATTCATTTTATAGTGTACCTATCAAAACTGACAAGAGAATTAAAAATAATAAACTGTATTGGACATTTTTTGCAGGATATTAAGAGTTCAAAGTTCCAATGCTTTCATTTGGTTAACCTGCTTTGCCTTACTTGAATTTTGACTAATTATTTGTGGTGCACATTAATTAATTATTCTGATTTCATACATCTGACACCTACAAGCCCACAGGCAGTATGGCGGTCAACAAAATGATATTTAAACTAGGCCTAAGTAGCATAAACTTAATGCCGCATTTATGGGGTCTTAAAACAACGACAAACTTACCGCCCTCGCACCATCAAGCTCTACTTTTGTTTTGCTTAGCTGAGCAGTCGTCGCGGAGAGGTCTGCCTCAAGTTTCTGAAAACGCCCACGTAGATTTTCAATTTCTTCCTCGTAGGTTCGCTTCGATCGGGCCTAGGATAATTGCGAGGACATTGCCATTTGGTTGAATTTACAAAGTTCAAAATAACATAATTCCTGCAACCGAAACTATTCTTAGGTTCTTTGGGTGTGCGACACATTATTTTTGATGGGCTCGAATAAGTTATGCAGCACTGGTATCTTACGCATTTAAGTATTCTTAAAAAGAATTTCCTAAATGGGTCTGAAATCCAGACAAATTTCCACCCAAGTACAAAGTAGTGCGGTAAATTATTCAATGTATTTGCTAATTAAGCTTGAATATCGAGACTGGTGCATGTTTGAAAGACTTTTGCTGCTAAGCAATTTTAAAGTGCTTGTTCAATAATCCAAATCAAAATGACAAGGCTTAATCTGTGTTTTAGACTAAAGTATTCAGTCTTTTTTATGAATACAGTACCACATCCTGAACGCAAGGGCAACGGTTTTCCTACTCCGCACTTGAAGATTATTATCCACAATCAATTTCGCATAAAATGATTAAGGTTGTTGGACAAACCTCAAATCGAAAAATACCACTCACGTGTGCTTGACACACCCTTACTTATGTTCATGGGCGTCAACCAACCGCATTTTATTATATAACCGTTGCTATAACAACTGCATGAACTCATAACTGTCTTTTGTCAGGCAGTCTTAGCAATTTATTTAAACTTAGGGGTTTCGGAAACCAAGTATTGTATTTAAAATCAATTTCTGAAATACAAAGAAATAAATGTACCCAAAAAACCAAATTCTGACTGTTTCATAGGTGTGACAATCATGCAAATCCATTGATAAATGTAGCAAGGCGGTGAATGAAAACCCGATTACTGCAACCCCGTTGTCTGTGCTGATAGCTAAGAATAACACCTCTGACCAAAATGCTATATTCTCGATATCGCCATGTCACTTTAATCATTGAGTGACCAAAACTTGTAATAGTGAGTCGATGGCTGCCAAATAAAGTGGGTGACCGATATGTCACGTATTCTGATAATTGGTGTAGGAGAACTTCTTTCAAGTTGCTGATTGCATTCATTACATTAATTATTGGTGGCGAGTGTCCGCATAACTTTAATGTGAAGCAAACTAAAGCACACAAATCAAGGGGTCGTCTTAATTGCGAGCCTAACGCTCAATGGTGAATGAACCATCAGTATTACTTTTACTGCCAAAGCTAAACCGCGGTTAAAACGACTAAGCTAAGTGGCGACAAGCACCCCATCTCGCGTATCGTCATTCAAAAGAGCTTAGCGGAGAGGTCACACTTACTGAGGTTCGAACCAAAAAACGTCCCCGTAACAAGCATATCTTGAAAGGCGCTTAGTTTGCTTAGCATGTTATCTCGTATTTGGCAAGATAGTAAATCTAATAGCCTATAAATTATAGCTCTCAACTCATGTTCGTTTGCTAAGTATTCTAAAAATAGACTGCTTCGGCTTTGCCGTTGTCTGCTTTTGTTCCTATTGGTCTTTTCAACAATCAAAACAGATTTTAGACAATCTCCGTTGTGTGAGAGATTTCGTAAAAATTGCAAACAAACAACCAATAAATAGGTTTTATGCTTGATTACATAGAAGTCTATTCCGTAATTTTGAGAATTCAGCTCAAAGTTTTAAACCTTACTCACGTGACACAACCATTTAAAATTTTGGGGATTGCAGAAATGTTACTATGGTAATGTCATAAACAATTTCTACTGATAGGCTACAGTAAAACGTTCTAAAAATAGACAATCGAAGAACGTATTTCAGTGTGAAACAATAGACTCCTTCATGCTTATTTCAGGTGGACAAATATCGGAGTTTTAGAATATCCTATGGACAACATTTGTGAACATAAAATTGCTGCTACGTCCCCTAGTGCTGAACCACATCTTTCCCTAGCTTAACATGAAACTCAAGCTTATGAAACACTCATTGGTATGCTTGATTAAATCAAAAAAAATCCATGACACATTGGAAGCTTAACACTTGAAGGTCAATTGTGAGTCTCATAATTCATAGCTCACTTGGGTATCTAACATCCTGGTCTTACGTAATTCGAACATCTCAGTACTTGCACTCGTTTTTTAAAGAGGTATACACTCAGCATTAAAGGTTACTACAAAATGAGTCGTATTACTTGCTATATTACGTCAATACTCTGTTCAACTCAATTCCCTCGGGTTCGTATACAAAAACTCCATACTAGGAAGTTTCGCATCATAGTCGTAAGACCAACAAAAACGTGGGAAAAAACCTCGCTAACTAAACGTTGGATGCGAAAAAATCATCCCTGGTTTAGTTTATAGATTATAAGGCGGTGTACATCACATTACTTGAGTTACTTCATAGGCTTATGCAATGAAATTAAGGTTACACACAAAAGAACACTTGACGTCAAGTAACAATTTTCACATTTGGTAAGTGACATTGTTTGAAGGCAGTAAAGCAGGCTATTTGGGAGAGCTCACAAGTCACACCACTATCTCCTTTAGTGCATCACTCACCATTAGAGATTCGAGATGGGCTCTTTCGCTTTCAAGGTCGCGACGGTAGCGGGATTCCGTTTCTTTCAGCCGCTCCTCCAGCACAGCCACGGAGGCGCTGAGGCGGACATTTTCATCACGCAACCGCCCCGTTAGGTTATCACTCTCGACTACTGAGGCCTGCGAAGACATTGATTCCATCTTCGCCTCCATCTGACGCATTTGTTGCTGCAATAACAAAGTTGTTCCAATGTATCACTTGAAAATTCAAAAAATTAAATGGCCACACTCAAGAAACAGTCAGTCAGTGGATGTTGCGGAAATCAGTGAAGGCTATCGAGACACTTTTAATTTGTGCCGCGAAGGACGAAATTCGGAGATTCCTTCTAGGATCAGTAGCAGTGACTTCACTTAACACTCATCTTTATTAATTATTACGCCAACATAGTGCACTTTGCTCGGACGAGCAATGAAATCTAAGAGGCAGCATTGAGGTGCCCCTGTAGTTTGCATGTGATTTTCTGAACGAACATGACGGTGACTTACACGAAGTCAGTGTGAGAGACTGCCATTGTCGACTAAGACTGCTGAACAAACCACGGACTCTAGTTATCATAAAACAAGCCACCTTTATCCTTTTTGGTTTATCAAACAAAAAGCTCCTTTTCCCTTCACAACATTCGCGTGGAAAAACTCACTAAGTTGGTATATTTAGCTAATTCACAAGCGCTGCTTAAGTGTCGCTTAACGTGCTTATGTGTTTTCTCAGTTGTGTTATTTTAAGTTTCTCGGAGTGCTTTCAGACGCATTTATTCATGAGAACTAATTAAAATGTGCAAAAAGGTTGTGGGTTTATAGCTTTTGAGCTGAAACTTACAGTCCTTCATGATTATTAGGTACGAAGATGCTGTAGATAAATATTTGCTTTTTGCAACGAAATGAGCACCTATATAGCAAGCACCACAAGTAAATGCCTATAAACAAATAAAGCCATCAATTTCGCTCACCAACAATCACCCACATCCCTTTCTATAAAACAGCGAATTCGGGAATGAAATTTTGATAATCTGCGCGTTGGTGTTGCGTATATGTGACCAACGTGTTGTCACTTCATGAAATTATTGATTCGCGTTAGGCTCTCATTCGTTTAAACATGACAACTAGCACCCAGATGGCACTATGCCTTGAGTTGTCCTGGCCCGTCTGTACGAGTAAAACGGGCCCAAAATAAAGGCCAAACCCTGAGAAAATGACAACCGAAACCACTTCTTTTTTAAGACCGGTTCGCAATCAGTCGCCGTAATGCATTGACTGAATATTGTCAGCACAAATATGCGAGCGGTTTTTAATTTGCCTGATGCACCTATCACTTTGAGGTTTTAGAGGCAGCGACGTTTCTTTGTTAATTAGCTTCTTCTCGCAAATTTCAACCTGTTTTTTTACATTTGTAGGGGTCGTCAAATCACACAAATAAAAATACTGACGCCAACATTCACAGCAGTCAATGATTCCACCCCAGCGATGCGTAACAAGTAAATCTCAAGTGACCTTATTTCTGCCCTTATTTGAGTAGTTCATTTTATCGCAAAAATCCGCAAGTTAAGGTCTAAGGTCATCGTGTGGTGCCACTTTCACGAAGTGAGTGGGTGAATGCTGACTCCAGCGTTAAACATGCATAACACGCACATGGTTAAGCAGTCGTCAATACAGCGTGATGAGAATGCTTTATGCGAACAAACAGAAGGCGTTCTGAAAACATCAACATTCAAATATTTGCCTAGTGCTAATTTAGTAAAGTAAAATGGAGTTTACAATTCAGTTGGCTGCAAAAATCACGAGGGCCACGATCTTTTGGGCTCTTGATTTCTAGCTTACATACAAGGTTATGATTTCTTCTTAATTTCTAAACTTCAGACTACAGTGTCAAAAATAATTTTATGAGGAAGATCATTGAGGATTCAGGGGGTTACCTGATTTTCTCGGCTTTAATATCAATTACGTTCAAACTTATCAATTTAAGACAGTGACAAGTATGGCAGAACCCTTTAATTTAGTATATACCAAATCACAATACCCGTGGTTCGTCGTCTTAAGTACCACAAGACCTGCAGCTAAGACATCACCGTTTAATCTAGGAAAAAAATTAGTCCTCTTTTGTCGACATGAAGAATGAAATTTTTGCCAAGGTGTTCAAATCGTTAGCAAAATTGGGTATTTTCCACGGACGTCCCCTAATTAGTTAATTCGGTGAATTGTACGGAGGCTTTGTGATGAATTTAGCCAAATCACGATCGCCAGTACGGTTTATTCACGACTTGCTATTATGTTTATTCGTTCCCCGGATCCCTTGCCGAGCTCCTTGACTCCATTCCTAATGTTCACCTTTTGGTTCATCACCGTGGGCCTGTGTAACCAAGGCCATGGGACTTCTACCAACACATTCCGCAGCATGAGGTCGTTAAATGCGTGAGCGGTCGCTCCTAAGCCTGCCCGAATTCGGCAGCCCAGCGAACGGTTGAACCTCCGTCGCCTTCTTTTTCCGCATTGTCCTCCGACTACTCGGTGTCGGATCAAGCCGCAAAAGCACCTTCAATTTCTTGATGCAATGCGGGTGCATGACCTACATCTGGGCCTTCAACAACTTCTTTAATGATGTGATATCTGAGCAATATTTCAATGCACTCAACGAGAAACCCTGAAATTGACTCAATTACTTCTTTAGGCCTTCATAAATGCCAGAAGAATCTTAATTCATTGCATTTTTCGTCCACTTGGAAAGCAAGTTTTGAGCTGACCTTGGAAATCTGAGGAACTAAAGGGGTTCTTACAATAGAAATGGCAACCTGAATGGACTAATTAGGGACGGTGGTGAGGATAAACAAACCGTTACACCCAAAACTGACGAATCTGCCATAAACGCCCATTCCAAGCCAACGAATGTTGGTTTATTAACTGCAATGCCATTACTAGACTTTTGAATTATTACTTTTCCAACGGGTTACCAGATTTGTTTTTGTAAAGCCTTAATTTGCGATATACTAATGGTCATATTACACAATTCAATTTCACGAGCACTGGTTGTAATTATTTAAGCCAAAGACATTTGCGTACAGCATGCTCGAACAATGCCGCCTTCTTATCATCGACTATTCTCTGTTCCACTGAATATGCCATTTCCAAGTGCTTTGTAAGCAACCTCGGTTTCATAACATTGCTTGATTGCTCTAAATTTTTAAGTGTTAACATAGCGTAATACTGCCTCAACCAAGTAATTTGTCAGTGAAATATTTTGGTATTGCGCCATGGTACGTATGCACTCATGTCCTTTCAAAATAGAATCGTATAAAATTGAATTAAGCTGAGTACATGGCAGGATTAAAAACATTCAGTAAGCATAAGAAAATTCTATTGATAAGTTTTGTAGTTATTTGTGACCAAAGTGTAGTCAGGCGATTGTAAACACTTTATAGGTTATAGAAAAATTATAATGAGACACTTGTTAATTTAAACACCGTATACTGGTTTATTGATGCAAGTCTGAAAATGAGTTTCCATTACTGGTGTCCGTCAGTTCATATCAGCCACA